AGTTATTTTTGACATCTTTTTTTTTTTTTATCAATCAATAAGATCAGGAATACAAAGGTAATCTAAGAATCAGTATGTCAGCCAGGAAGTTGACAATGTGGGGAAGAAAAACATATGATAGGACTTGGAAACTATTTTAAGTGTTATGGTGTCATGTTGTTTCGGAATATAAAAAGGGGCTCCAAAATACGTATGCAATGAAGTCTGATTAAGCTTCAGCAGGGCAGGATTTGAACAGGGAACTGGTGATAGTGAGAACAAAGCAGCCCAGAAACAGAACAGTTAAGAGATGGAAGGAGAATTGGCAAAAGTTGTGCTATCGGACATGGGGTGAAACGAGCTGCCATACTAGGAAGCTCAGTACAATTAGACTCTGAAACCAAAGCAACAGTTGTTTCTCTCACAAGGTAACTTTTTTTCTTTTCCTTCACTTGTTGGGTGCCACCAGCAAGGCTCAGGGGTTACTCCTGCCTCTGCACTCAGAATTACTGTCGGCGGTGCTCAGGGGACCATAGAGGATGCCGGGGGTTGAACCTGGGTCAGCCCCATGCAAGGCAAATGTCCTACCTCCTGCTGCACTATCACAAATGCCGTATCGCTGTACTACTGCTCCTGTCCTATACACAAGATAACATATATATATATATATGTAAGTTTTTGCTTTTTGGATCATAGCCAGCGATGCTTAGGGGTTACTCCTGGCTCTGCACTCAGGAATTACTCCTGGCAGTGCTCAGGGGACCATATGGGATGCTGAGAATGGAACCCGGGTCGGCTGCATGCAAGGGAACGCCCTACCTGCTGTACTATCACTCCAGCAACAAACTTTTAAACTATTATTACGAGCCTAGGAGATACTCCAAAGGGCTGGAGCACGTACTTTGGAGTATGTTGGAGACCAGGTTCCGTTAGTCCCAGGATCCGGAGACTAACGATCCTCACCTAGCACTGTGGCAGGCCTAGCCCTTAGCCAGTTTGGGTATGGCTCAAAGTCGAATTCAATTTTTTTTCTTAATTTTTTAAAAATTCTTCTTCCCTCTTTCACACTTTTTTTTTTTTAACCCTTGTGTTGTCACCATGATTGAGGCAATAGAAGCTTGACTGTCCTGGTCACACTTGGCTGCAGTACTCGTCAGAGGAGCAGACTAACCTGCAGTGTTCACACATGCTTCCCAGGGTTCCTATACTTGGTCCTGGGGTCCAGCACATCTGCTTGGTTGTGGTCATCGAACATAACCCGGTTCAATGTGGCATCTGAGATCACATGCTCTAATGATGGGGTGCCAGAGAGTAGAAGTTCCATGGGGACAGATGTTCCATGTTCCTCCATCTCATACCAGCAAGGTAGGCACTTTAGCCCTTCAGCTGTTCTGCACTGCACCCCCCTCACCCCCAAATATCTTCATTCATGCGGTTGTCAATTATGACTGAATTCCAGTACAGCTGTGATTGCTTTACTAGCCCGGAGCTGTCTTTGCTTCTTTTCCAATTTCTACAAGTTAATTTAAGCCAAAGCATTGCAATGCTTTTCTCTTGTGAGAGAATGAAAAGTTCTAGCAAGAGAATCAACTGTGTGGCATTCTTGAACTATTACATGAATGACAGGAAAGAATGAGGAATCAAATGAGAGGCTCAATAAGACTCACAATGCCAGGTTATATAACTGCAATTTTCCCTTTGGCCCTGACTCCAAGGTCTTTTATTGGAAATATGTATTGCTGATTGGGATTACTTCATTCACTTGAAAAAAAAAAGTAACATTCTACAAGTTTCAGATTTAGGGGTCAGAGGGATGATACAAAGACTAAAGCAATAGAGGCTGAGCGTGGTAATACAGCAGGTTGGGTGCTTGCTTTGTACATGGCCAAACAGGGGTTCCATCCCTGGCATTCCATATAGTTCCCCAAGCACTGCTAGGAGTGATTGCTGAGCTGAGTCAGGAGTCCTGACCACTGATAGGTGTGACTCCAAAACAAAGAACTAAAACCAAAGAGACTTAAGGTGTTGGCCTCGCAGGTGGTTACAGCGGCTTGTACTCCAGCCCCAGATATGGCGATGCCCAAGCAGACAGGTGTGGTCTCTGGCCCCAAACAAATTAAAAGCCCGAGTTCTAGATTTACAGAATCACTGCAGATGAGTCCCATACACCAAATCCCTAATTTCTCCCACTAATAATTTACTCTAGCATGATATACACCGAATCAAGACTGATGTACTGACTCCACACTTTACTGTTTTTCTTTATCGGTTCCAGAATTCCACGCAGTGTTTACATCACATCAGAAATGTCATTTGAGGCTTTTCTTGCTTGCGACAGCTTCTGTTTCCATGACCGTGATGGTCTTGGATACCAATCAAATGCGTGACAGCACATCTAGCAATTAGTTTCTGTTACTGTGTTGGGGTGGAGAAGAGGTTTTCCCTTTAGGAGGAAGTCCATAGGGCCAGGGCTCCATTTTCATCACGGTACCTTAAGGGTACATATTATCAACACAACTTATCACTGTAGATGTGAACCTTGATCCAAGCGTGTTTGGCAGGTTTCTGTGTCACAAAGTTGCTCTCTTCCTTGGCCATGTTGTGATGCAACCTCAGCGTGTACTGTCATATTTCTTTTTCTCATTTGTTCAGTATGGGGATTTTATGTTTTGAATGGATCATACAAGAATCTCCCTCTTTCTGCTGACAAGTCTTCATCATTTTAATTTTTTTTTTCAGTCATACCTGGCATTGCTCAGAGGTTACTCCTGACTCTGTGCTCACAAAGTATCTCTGGCCATCAATGATCAGGGGACCATATGGGATGTCAGGGAATAAACCCAGGTCCACCATGTGCAAGGCAAACAAACACCCTACCCGCTGTGCTATCGCTCCCGCCACTCACATTGTAATTTTTAAAGATCATTTTGAGGCCAGGAAGTAGCTCAGCCGTAGGGCACTTCCCTTGCACTTGTTAAGCTCCATGCTTGATTTTCATCTGAGACATATGCTAGGCTTACTTTTCTATCTCCTGTCCTAATGCTATCTATTTACAGCAATTTCTCTACCAAGCTGCAATTTTTTTTTTTTAGCATTACTCCGTAACATTCCCCTTTCCACTTAGAATAGTGGAAAAACAGGACTTAGCATGAAAGGGCTGGAGCAGCTGATGTCCCAAGCACTGCAAGGTCTCCAAACCAAGTGTGGACCAAAACAAAAAAGAGGAAAACAATGCGTTTTACCTAATAAAGCTAGTCTTGTTAAGTAGCCTTTGCAATGTGTTCGGGTAATGATCCTGAAAAGTTAGTGCGATCCGTGTGGTGACCAGGAATAGCATAAAGTCCCTCTTTTATTTATCTTAAGCTTGGGTCAATACAGGAAATTTTTTATTCACCTACCCTCAATAAAAAACTTATTTTGGAAAATTACATCATCCAGTTCAATTTTGCTATTATAGGTTTGATAAAAGAAGGCACAACATGGAGTCTTTTAGGCACTTTTTATTTTCCAAAAAAAATTGTCGTTAATATATAAACATCTCATTCTCTCAAAAAATTCTACAACTATACAGCTGTTTGCTCCATTATTTGCATAGGAAATGACCACAATACAAAAATAAGAGGGAAAAAGAAGCAAAACAGCAAACTGATTTATGCGTTTTATGTATGTTTCCACGTATAAACATTTTGAAGCCTTACAAAATATTTACACCATTTGTCATCTATTTACACATTAAGAGCAACTTTTCTAACAAACAAAACTATAATTTATCAAGTTATGAAAATTTTCTAAAAAAACTTACTATATTACCACAAAATAAATAGATAAACAATATTTTAAAAACAAAATTAAATTTTCATTTCAATTAAGACCCCTTTTGGCATTTTGCTTATGTTTTCTGCCCTTTGGTTAACAGCATCAGCATCACATTACTATTTTATATTGCATATATGTAGCACTCGCTTAAGTTTTCAACATGTCACATAATTAAAGGCAGACACTGAGTCAGTATTAACAATAGGTTAACTAAACTCCACTGTAATTTAGGTAAAATTACTGTGTCTCATTGTACATTACATGCAAAATCCACATTAATTGGCATCTAACCAACAGTACTGCACAAGCAAACATCGCTATATGAAAACTGTATCATAAATTCATTTGTTGCCATATGAAAACCATTGAAATCTTTTCAAAAATGATACTGTACTTAGCTTATAGCAAGAGGTTTGACTTTTTTCCATTGTAACTATATTTATGTTCTTGAGTTCACAATTCATATAAAATTCTTTCATATTTAAAATAAACAATCCCATTTAATCAGTGCACAAAATCTGCATTTAAATTCATCTGAACGATTATTTGACACCCCCCCCAAAGAAATGAATTTGGTAATGTTCGAAGAGGTATCTTATCACAAATTCTATTTGTAGATGTAGTCATGGTTATTTTCAACAAAAGAATTATTGATTTTCCCCCAAAAGAATCCTAGAAAACTTGTAATAAACCTATAAAGCTGATTTGCATATTTACAAAATTTTGAATAGCAAATATAGGCAACTCATATCTTTTTTATGAAAAAAAAAAAAAACACATTTGTTCAGTGGCTATTTGCAAATTGCCAGGTACAATGCGTACCTCACCTCTAAGGAATTATCTAATATTGGAAAAAGTAAAATAAAATTACTCGATGTCAAGTAAAATCTTGACATACAATCCAGTCTTCTTCCTGTGCCTGCCAACTGATTTATTCACTAAACACTGTCACATTAAATGATGGTGCTTAGGTAAAAACACTGCAAAACCCCTGTGCCCCCACCCCCAACCCCCGCTGAGATGTTACTGCCTGTCGTGAGATGAGATCTGCTTGAGTAAAGCCATGTACATTACAGCAAGCATTCCAGATTTGTAAAAGGACCAAACACTTTGGTATTAATACATTGTATTCCCTGTTTTCTCAAATATACAAAATATACATTTCCAGTTTTTTTAAATTTTTTTCTTTCTTTTATATATATATATATATAGAGTTAAGTTTGTGGTTTAAAATGTTGCCAAGTGATCTGCAGTGGGACGGGCACAGGTGCAGCGGGGCCCACAGCGGCTCAGTTCTGGTGCCTCTTCATGTGCAGGGCCAGGTGGTCCGAGCGGGAGAAGCTGCGGTTGCACACCCCGCACTGGAAGGGCTTGGCCCCCGTGTGCTTCCGGTAGTGACGGGTCAGCTCGTCTGAGCGTGCGAACCTCCAGTCGCAGCCTTCCCAGGTGCACTTGTACGGCTTCTCACCTGCAGAAGGAAGAGAGCCATGAGCTGGGCTGCTTGCAAGGTGGACGAGCCTGGGAAGGTCCGTTCCCAAAAAACTACGGTCCCAGGGAAGCACAACCCATGAACACCGTGATCGACACAATTTCTAACGAACTCGAGTCAAGGGAACTGTTTTCTTGAACAGTACTGAACGACCAAGAAAAAAAGAAAAATTCCTATGTACTGAGTAAATGGGTATGGTATAACTATCATGACTCCTCTAAGAACATCATTTCTAGACCAACAACCCTGAATTAGATTAGTACAGAAAAATACCTGAGATAACCAAGTGAGGAAAAAATTCTGGAGCTGCTCACATAAACACAGTGAGTTTAAGAACAGTCCTTGACTGCAAGCACATAAAACAGGTCTAGGCCTCCCCAAAATGGACGACCATGATTGAATTTACACCAGCACCAACACTCATGTTTTCTCATACTGCAGGCTAAAGGAAACCAACGCAAGAATGACTCCTAAGATTTTTTCCTTTTTCAATAAAGTGGTAAAGTAGTAAAGTCTTGTGCATTTTTTTCCAGTACTGAGTACTGAGCCCATGGTCTACCTGGCTGAGCTACATTCCCTGGTCCTGCATTTGATACTGAAGTTTTCATTCAAGTCACCCAGTTTCATAGCCCTCTTCACTTCCTAAGAAACGCCCCCCCAGTCTGTATCAACTCTTGCTTGTTGCATTTTCTACTTGTGCGCCAAGGAACGGACGGCGACATGCTCAGTCAATGCATCCCTTACCATGTTAGTCTTCGGAGGGTCTACAGCGTGCTGGTTGCTATTTGTACAATGAGTATTTATAATGTGATCTTCACTGTCAGTTTTAAAACCTTATTTGAGATCATATATCCTCCACCCCTTAAATCCCGAAACCTAAGAACCTTTCACTGAGCATTAACTAATTTCAATTTTATGCTTTGTTTTATTTTGAGGAATATACTGGTTTACTAGAGTGTGAAATAAATCTGTATATTAAAGTACTACTGCTTACTTTGAGCTTTTTATGAATATCTTTTTTAAAACACCCAACAGAGTGTTTTCTTGTGAAAGGGAAGTTCCTCAGAGCTGCCGTGAACACTGGTTACTTAGTACCATGATGAAATTCAACAGCCTTTCTGCCTGATTTAACAGTATCACATTCAGGAAGTTGTAAGATTACTCAACTGAGTACAAATTTTAAAAGACATTGTCCACATCAACTGAGATTTCTACAACCTGTGGTTAATGTATTTTTGCTGTCTTGATAACTGGCCTGACCCTTACACAAAATCCCATAATCACAAAGGACCAATTTTGCCTTTGAAATCTATACCAATTCTTTCTCAGGAGATTTGTCTTTCCACTTCTATGGTATATACTATGCATCTCTCGGCCACTTTTCTGCCCTCCTCTGGCTCTGAATCAAGACACACTTATCTTCTTTTAAGTTCTCTTTGAGGCTCCCAAGTTCCATTTGAAAAACACGCAACAATTCTTCAATTTTTTAAAGTATTTCCGGGGGGGGGGGGGGAAGGGCGCATGGGAATTTGGGGCCACACCTAGCTATGTTTGAAGCTTACGCTGGCTCTGCATTCAGGGATCACTCCTGGGAGGTGAGTTGGGGTGACCATATGGGGTGCTGGGGAATCGAACGTGCAAGCTAAGTGTCTTAGTCATTGCACTGCTGTCTCTCTCTGATCCCCAGTGTTTATTTCCATTCTCTTAATACATTCTAAGAACCTATTACGCTAATACAATCAAACCTTTTCACATGTATTTTTAGTATACAGGAATGTTATAAGGTTAGTAGTAAGTATAACTATCACACAGAAATGTAAATTATACAAAAATTTTGTGCCAATGTTTGTTTTTATTCCTCATGAAAAATAAATCACAAAAACATGCCAGTTAAATGCTCTACTGTCATTTAATGGAAAGGGAAAGTTATTTCTGATGTCTGAGGTGAGGAAAAAAATTCCTAAAGTGCTCCAATTTTAAAAGAAATCATTCTAGTCTTTTAGAATGAAATAACTACATAGCAAGAGAACTAAATTTTCAGAGTTTATTTAAGAAACAAGGGACACTAGACTCTTTTTGTCCACTATTTTCATTGGCTATGAAGCAATAAACTGTACCAATGTTTTTTAAAGTTTACTTTACTGATAGGTTGAAAAACGGTAGCCATTAAAATTTCTCAAGCATTTGGGGTTTTGCTCTCAATTTATGCACATCTATAGCTTACTCAGCCAAGAATACCACCAGTGTCTGGGACAGTTAGTTATGAGGTCCCAGCTTTACTATAAAAGCAAGGACAGCCATTCCCCCACCTGGGGAAGTTTCAATGGGATTTGTTCAAGTATCAACACTGCTCAAGTAAAACATCATAGAGGAAGCTGGTCCCCGATTTCAGTCCAAACAGCAGATTTGGGCCTTTCTTCCTCAGCCAGAAACACTATGCACAGTACTTCTGGGAAACCAAACTGACTTCCTTTAAGTTATTTCAACAGGATAGGGCTTTCAAAAGTTTAATTGGATTTTTACAGAATCTCTTTCCAATGCCACCAATTTAAAATATTTAGTTAAGCTCTTTCAACATCAACCGTATTCTTAAGTTCTCATGCTGTTAACGCAAAAATTTCCAAAGGCAAAAAAAAAAAAAAAAAGAGAGAGACAAGTTTTGTACAGCAGGAAAAACAAGCTGCAACTTTATCTTAAAAAAAAAAAATCCCCAACCTTACTTAAAAAAAAAAGTTAAAGTTAAATAATCTACACTAAAGTAAATCAATCTATGTTATATATAACATATTATCAAAGGAGAGATCAGGCCTCCACATCTATGGAGCCCCTACTCCAAGTCAGGAATTATTCTTTAAGCTCATCCTCACGGTAAGGCAGGCAGAGCTCAAAACAAAAAAATGAACTCCACATTAAGAATCTCAGCTTGCCACTTTTCATCAATATCCTACTTAAGAGTCTTCCATTGGCACTAATATACTCCATAGGGAATGATTACATATATATATAAAATTTTCCAAACATAAGGCCACCTGTGAAAGTCAGTTCAGAAATAACTACTCGACGCCTTACACCCCAGACTGTCTGGGGCAGGCAGAGGGCACACTCGCTAAACCAGCCCCCTGTGAAGATTCGCTTTTAGGACCCTGTAACTGAAACTGTTTGGTGCCGGCAAATAAGCCCCAACTAGCACCTGAAGATACTATTCCTTTATCCCAGGTGAAACAAATTTTAGTGGATTAGTAGAAAAGGACTGCAAAGAATTTCTAAAAACAACTCGAACAATGAACTAACGAAAAAAATTATTGAATCTTTTTCTCTAATGAACAGATAAAAAATTAGTTTGGAACCTCATTACAATACAAAGGGAAGTTTTTCTGCTCTGCTGAACATATTCAATAGACTCATACCAAGGCCTTCCCCTACAACATTCTAATACAGATTTTTCTAACAAAGGAAAAATATGGACAAAATATTTGTTAGAATAGTTGTTTCATGTCACTTCATAATGTGTGTGAGAAAGAAGGCCCCACAGGCCATACGTTGTGTATCAGATCTTCCCAAAATCTTTGGGAGTTGGGGGCAGGAGGGAACCCAACTTATTTACAAGTTTCCTTTCTACTAGCTGAAAGTTAATATAATTACATCTGATAAAGGCTAAAAAAGAGTAAGAATTAAAGCCAATATTTAATAAATACTGTAGCCAATTTTAAGTGATTTGCAAAACAGTAAGATTTATTTTCCAATGTCAAAGAACTTAAAATTTATTGCCTATTCTAAGAATCAAAACAATGCAAACCGATAAAAAGTAATTTTTCAAAATTTACTTCTTAGAGTTTAAGAATCTTTAAAGCTCAACATGATCTTATTTCAGGAATATTTATATCCAGCCGATTATTTCCCCTTACTTAGAGACCTATTAAAAAATCTATGAGAAAGAATAATTCCCGGAGAAACTGATTTCATAAAAAATTAGGAAAAAAACCTCTTTAATTCATTAGATTTTTTTTTTTTTTGCTTTTTTGGGTCACACCCGGCAATGCACAGGAGTTACTCCTGGCTCTGCGCTCAGGAATTATCCCTGGCGGTGGTCAAGGGACCATATGGGATGCTGGGAATCGAACCCGGGTTGGCCCTGTGCAAGGCAAATGCCCTACCCACTGTGCTATTGCTCCAGCCCCAAGTTCATTAGATTTTTAAAATCTAATTAATTTTTTAAATCTAAGTCATTACTTTTTCAGATAAAAAAATCTTTTTATTAATACAGTACATCGCCTGTATTTGGAATACAAGGTTTCTATTTCTAAATTTTATTTCCATAAATTAGTATTTGCAAAATGCACCATTTCCTGTAACATCCCTGTCAACCTGATTAAAATAACTAAGAAGTTCCCTTTTTTCTGCTGATAGTCTTCTCTTCTTTCCTGGTAGACCAGCTTATTTTTTCTTGAAAATCTGATTTGCCTTAACCATTCCAGAATCTTCTAACATTGCAAAAGAACAACCATTCCTGTGTCACTTCTCTGTATTTCCATCACTGAAATTCATTTTGAGCAACTGATTTACATTTGCACATATATATTAAGACTCCAAATAGTTCTACCTGGTCTCCCAAGTAGAAGAATCCTAGCTTATACATACTATCACATACTTGGTGAATCTTCGAAAGGCTCACATTTGGCCCAAGTGTGGCCAACTTGGTTACTTCCGCTTTTCTTCAGTTGTTGTTCTACAGAGCTGAATGGACTTGACGAAAAAAACTACAAAGTCCTAGAAAACTACAAAGTGCTGGTCAAAGACGCAATGGACCATCTCATCAGGCCAGAGAGCTGTACTGTGTCTAACCTACGCTTAAAAGTGGCTTGGTGGTCCTCTGTGTAACAGTGGGATTAACCTCGAGGCTTCTACAGCTGCTACTACCCTAAGGTACAATGGAGGGTGGCAGAGATAGCTCCGCAGGCAGAAGTGCTTGTTTTGCATGT